GTACAAAGGAAACCTGATCAAAACTCTTGGTCATTAAATACTACTGATATGGTTGAAGAAGAGCTAAACGCCTTGAGTAATACGCTAAGGGAAAACTGATACCCCGGAAAGTTTCATCAACTGATTAATGAAATGTTTAATTCGGTACGTTATAGAAGGAAAAAATATACATAACGACATTGGTCAGTAGATAATCAGGGAGAGAAAAAGAAAAGGAAGTAATAATATAATTGACAATTTCTACAAAGTTTCAATTTCTCTAACTCTTCCTGCTCTAAATGTTTTGTTACAGGTGACAAAGTGAATGATAGGATAAAACTGAACTTAGATGTTATCATACATTCTCTTCGATAAATGATAAATGCACAAAAAACCTTTACTAACAATCCAACTAAAGATACTGATGACAGATTTTTAGATGGATATTCTAAAGCAATTCAATGAAAAGTCATGAATTGTGAATTCAAAGATTTTAGTGACATGATAGTTATATGCTGACTGATGATTGATTAGTAATTAATATAGTTTTTAGTCCTTAATGGCGATCAAGTTCTTTCTGAATGATTTAATATCACAAACAATCTGTTTGGATGTAAAATTGTCGTATGTTAGTTGCCAGGACACTCGATTTTATACTAGTTGACACTCAGAAGCAAGAAATGATTAGTACTGAAATAAATGATATTCAGTTTCATGGTAAAAAGATGGTACCCCTGATCTATTCAAGCCGTAAGATAAAGTCCTGTCAAGGTGATATATTCAAATTGAATTATACAGATTCACATCTAATATACACCATCGTTCCCATCAATATTTCAAATATATCTCACTGATGAGTGCCAAACTTCACTAAATGTAAGTTTATATCCTACTACTGACATCTGTAAACAATCTTTTATTCAGATAGTTTCTTCACTCGACTCTAATCTTCACTGCTTCCTGGTTTTCTGTAGTTTATCAACTAATATTTATTGGTTCATGATCACCTTTGTCAATTTCTCCTAATTTTCATTATTCATAGATATCCTTTTTCTTTTGTTACAAATAAATAGATTGAAAAGAAGAAAATAATAAGATTAAGTGAAAATTAATCCTTATTGTGTTTTTGGGCTAAATCGTTGACATGGTAACATGCGATGATAGATTAGGGTATAACTTATTACAGTATATAAATTATAATGATAATTTTGAAATTGTATGTATGTATATACATATTTAGAGGCCCTAACCTAGGACTTTAGTATCAGAGAATTAAGCAATTAATTCCTTTTATAAACTTCGATAGAGCAATGAGAAGACATAGTTGATCTGAAAAAAATATGATATATTTACGCTATACATTTCGAACCATACAATCAAGGGTTATGGAACATGTGCTTAGATGGCTTCAAATGTCAAATGTTCTGATCAACGTGGGAAGTAGAAACTCATGTTCATCGATAGCAAAACACAGAATTGACATCAGTGCAGCTTTTAAAACGTTGTATAGGAATTTTCAAAGACGAATTCCCATATTTAGAGAAGCTTTGGCTATTCGTAAATTTAAACCTTCCTCATGTATACAAAAACAAGTTGTCATAACCTTGAATTTACTCTGGTAATCCTTAAGCCATTTTATGATCTAGGGCACTGTGACAATTTCCCATTCTTTCTATATGATGTCAATCTTTTTTCTCCTTTATTTCTTTGTTTACTTGAATTTTCATTTAATTGACTTTTATTACTTTTCATATAAAATACCTTAACAAGTATATGTATGACCAGATTGTTCGAAATGTATAGCACAAATACATCACATTTTTCAGATCAACACCGTCTTCTCATTTCTCTATCAAAACATGAAAACTAATGAATAGCAAAGAGTTCATTTTACTGTAATATATTTTGATATTACTGAAAAGATATAATTGACTCTCAACTCTATAATTTTGCTTCCAACCATAATTATTAATTTCGACAAGATTAATATCAGAAGGGGTATTTTTGTGTAGATATTACAGTAATTTTAATAGTTGAGATCATGAGTTAATTGAAGCTAGACCATTATGAAAAACCTGGAAGCACTAGACAACCGTTTCGACATATTGCGGGACTCCTCAGCAGTGAGCATCCACGACTAAACATCCAAGATTAAACAGTCACCAATTTATGAAAATATTTATAATTAATATTCAGTCAGAGAATGATTTATTTTGATAACTTACTTCATGAAATTCTGGAAATAGAGTAGCTTTTTTGACTTGAGTTTTTTGTTTTGTTTTCTTAGTTTTATCTGGTCGAAGGTATCTATGTTTATGGAAAATACAAATACATATATAACATAAATATATAATAAAATCTCAAAAATTGTGTATAATACAATTACTGAATTAGTTTTAATTTAATAAATACACAACGAAAACTTAATAAAATATTCAGTGCTAAATGTATGGAATCAGAAATATTAGCCAATCAAAGTTAATCACTTCTTGAAAGAGCTGAAGGTGTTGAATTCAAACACTGTCAAAACAGTAAATCCCCACTGCTGAGTAGTCCCAAATTGAAATGAATCAACTAGGTAATAAATCTTAGTTTCCAGTGATTACCTAACTAAAGACACTCTTTGTCGTTTAGTATGAGTTTGGAATACAGATATATAAGCGGTTTAAAAGTTATTTATATATATTAAAATAATTGAATTCATGAGTCAATTGAAGCTAGACGATCATAGAGAAACTGGAAGTACTGGACGACATTTTCGTCCTGATATGGGACTCTTCAGCAGTTAGACATTAACGCCGTTGGATGTCGGCCAACTCAGGAGTCTAGAGGTTAAGCATTTGCACGCAGGACTGATGGGTCCCAGGTTCAAATCCCACGGAGAGAGATCGTCGATGCGCACTGCTGGGGAGTCTCATACTAGAATGAAACTGCTGTCCAGTGGTCCTAAGTTTTTCATGGCTGTTTATCTTCAATTGACTCATAAATTTAACTATTTAATTACTAAAATCTCTACAAAACTCTCTTCTGATAATATTCAAATAATTTGTTACATACATTTTAGCATCTACTAGTATCTGTTAATAAATGCTGCTAAAATGCCGTTTCACATTGTATAATTGTGTCTCTACAACATATTCATATTGCTGACATAAACTAGAAATTAGTATCTTTATTGTACAGTAACTTAATAATACAACCAAGACAGACTTTATGAAATGTTTATTTGACTGGTTGCATGTAAATATATTAAACCACTATCTACGAAATGTATAAAATATGAATTAAATCATAAATTGAGCCGGATAGTAAGTATGACAAATATTTATGACAGAAAGCGAGACATCCATTCCTCTATTCATTTTTTAGTTATATTATTTTTGACGATTTTATAAACAGAAGTGATATTTAACACTAGCTAATAAACAACCAATGTAAATATCTCAACCCTGTAAGAGGTCAGTCATGGTTTGAATAGCTTTGTAATAATATCTCAAACTATGAGGCTGTGTGACGTGGGTTTGTACTTGACAGGAAATATTAGTTATCTCAACGTTTCTGACACTCTCAAAGCAAGAGTATTATCCCTACAATCGAAGAATATATGGAACTCAAAACAACTGTCAACCGATATCAATGTCAGAATCTTCAATGGGACTGTCAAGACAATCCTACTGTATGGAGCTGAAACTTGGAGAACTACCAAAAACATCATCAAAATTGTACGGGTATTTACAAACAGTTATCTATTCAAAATACTCAGTTTGAGAGAACAAACTAGCTTCTGGCTGAAGAGGAAATTAGAAAAATATTTTAAAAGTTTTTGAAAACATATTGAGGAAATCATCAAATTGCGTTACAAAGCAAGTGCTAACTCTTAATATTAAAGGGAAACGGAAGGAAGGAAGACCAAGGAATATACTATGTCGGGAATTGGAAGCAGACATGAAAAGAACGGATAGCTATTGGAAAGAACTGAAAAGGATTGTTCAGGACAGTGTTGGGTAAAGAATTCTGATAGTCAGCGAATGCTCCTCCAAAAAGGTTAACAGGTGTAAATAAGGAAGTAAGTTATGACGCCTATTTTTGTTAATCGTCAACTGATATGATGGAAAGAAAAGTCAATTTTTGATTGAATTACTCATTATGGGTTTTATTCAACATTAAATCCGTTTTGATTCAACGTGAGGATCATTCAGTGTAGTATTTGATTTGTTTTCCTAGTATGATATTTCCTTCTGTATAATATACGATATTCTTGTATTCAGTTGACATGAACTATGCTCAGTAAGTGATTTGTTATAACTGAGTTTGTGATTTAATCCTAATTATTAATCAAAATGGGTGTACAATCAATATATAAACCGGTGTATTTTAGACTATATTTGATTCGTCGTTGTCATAGTGTTTTGGGGCTAATAAATCTTCACTTATACCAGTCTTTGTGTTCTTAATTTCGCATCGTGAGAATTGCAGAGCTCCCTCGTTCCGAATATAAGTGATTAGCGTTTTTCCGGCACAGCAATCAGCGACGATCAAATATGACATCAATAAACATAAAATCTAGGTTTTGGGTTTACTGTGGACTTTTATCAATCATATAAAATAAGAGATACTAAGGTAAACCAATAATCCTGCTAAAATTTAGCATATAGAAACATAGAATTTTCTGATATTGGACTTCTTAGAAGATATTTTGATATAAAAGATATTTCTATAAAAGGGATATTTTGAATTTTCCCAAACTTTCTAGCTTTTAACTGTCTCTCCCTCTCTCCCTATGTGACTAAATGAGCACATATTTCGTGACCATCTATGTACTCATTTTAAAATATACAAAATCTCCCTATATATTTATTATTTCTTAGAAACGCGTTATTTTAAAGTATAAAAAAGAAACATAAAAGAAAAGTCATCAGTTAATTATTTAAGATAAGTATCTATGATAATCGTTCTGTATTGTCTACTTAACTCTATCATTCATTGTTTATCTTTTAAAAAAAAGAAAAAAAAAGAAGAAAGCGTAAACATTATGTATTCAACAGTTGTATTATTATTAATACTAATATTATTATTATTATATTCAATTAATAATTAACTAGGCTAATAATATATCTATCTAGAAAGAAGCTAATTGAAAGCTTACATTACATAATAAAAAAAAATTATATCGTTAGTTTTAATTACATTTTTTTAGTTTTTTTTATTTCGAACAAAAAAAAATAGAGAAAAATAAATTAGGTCATAAACTTAATTTCCTCTATAAATTGTTAGATTTCCTTTTTCTTCTTCTTCTTTTTTTTTCTTCTTAGAATCTTAAACTCAATAGAGAATACTCCGCTAACCTTTACATTTTCTTTTATTTATTGATGTGTATTATTATGAATTTATTTTTTTGTTTTTTGTTTGTTGTTTTTTAGTTTTTTTAAATAAATTCATCCTTAAATAAATAATATTTTATGATAAAAAAATTTTTCTTTTCTTTTCTTTCTTTTCTTTTTAATATTTTAATGAAAAACGGATTTATTCTGTCTTTATTACTCTCTCTCTCTCCCCATCGCTTAGTTTCTCTTGTTCTCTTTCTCTTTTTTTCTTTTTCTTTGTTAATATTCAGAATTAAGATTTAGTTTCATTATGTTTATTTTTATTTTTATTTTTTTAAAAAAAAAGAAAGAAAAATTTAAAAAATGTTTTAAATGAAGCGTCAACAATAGAAATGAATTCATTTTTATTTATTTATTTATGTTTTTGAAAAATCATATTTTGATTTGTTACATAAATTGTAGGTCAATTTTATTTGATGAATTCAATGTTCAATTTAGAAAGTTTTAAGTGAAACATTCAATTTCTATGCATATTATAGACATAGATTATATATATATATATATAAATGAAAGGAAATATATGATGGATGTATATGCTAAAAAGTCATTTGCATGCAATTTACGAAGAAAGAAAACAAGTAAAGAAAACCTTTTAAGGGAGGAATATAATTGAACTTATATATTGGTGTCATTTAAATTTATACCTTTATTGTATTAGTAAATCAACTGTTATATAAACTATTCTATACAGAATATCAGTTGAAAAAATCTTCATAAGTTAGATATTTAAAAAGAAAAAGATCTATTTAGAAGATATCATATCAAGGAATGAAGTTATATAAAGAACTATTGTAAAACAAGAAAAATAAAATGATGAACGACTGTATTATTGTAATGTGAGATTTTTCAGTAGTGTACATACACATATTTGTACGGATTCGAGATCACCACACACCACATAAGCACAGAGATGCAGTTTTCGATTCAAATCCCGTAGTGGTAGAGGTAGTAAGAGTATAAGCAGTAATCGGGAAGATTAAGTTTTGAAGATATTATTCAAGGGGTATAATCCAGTGAAATAAATTTGGGAAGAGAAAAAAAGAAACAAGGAGGAATCAGGAGATCAAAATTTGGGAGAACACAAAGAGTGTATGCACCTGCGCCATTGCAAACGATTTTTAGCCATGTCATTCAGGGCCTCTAATCATCGGTTGCTATCGTCTCGCGGATCCCAACCAGATAGTCTGCACCTACCAACATGACTCAGTTCACTTGTCAGTGACTTCATGGACTTGTGCCATGTTTTGGTTTGGCCGCCCCTAGCTTTCTTCCAACCTACTCCTATACCACTGAACATCGCACTTCGAGGCAGTCGGTCGTTGGGCATACGTAACACGTGTCCCAGCCATCTCAACTGATGAAGTTTCACTACTTCATCAATGGATTTGCCATCCTTACTAGTACCCGTTTCCTAACAACTGTGTTACTTACTCGATGGTCCCATGATATACGAACAATGTTTCGAAGACACCTATGATCAAATACTAGTAACCTACGAATATCCTCTACTCTTACCGGCCATGTTTCACTGCCATAAAGAAGGACGGAACGAACTGCTGCGCAGTAAACGCGTCCTTTGGTTGATAGACGGATATCTCGCCTACGCCATAGATGACGCAAGTTGGCAAAAGCTAGTCGAGCCTTCTGTATCCGTGCTGAGATTTCGTCACACACCAGACCACAAGGGTTGATGAGGCTTCCAAGATAAGTGAAGCGGTCGATACGCTCATCTACTCCACTTCCTATCATTAGTTCGGGTGTCGATGCAACCCGATCCTGAAGCAACATTTTACATTTCGATGGGGAGAATCGCATGCCGAACATGCATCCATTGTTGCTTAGAATGGTCAGAAGACTCTGCATTTTGTCAGCGTCTTCACCAAATAGACCTATGTCATCAGCATATTCTAAGTCAACAAGTGAATCTCCCAGTAGAAGTTCATTCCCTGAAAATTTAGATGAGGAGAGTGTTATCTCTAAAAGCACGTCGACGACAAAGTTAAACAATAATGGATAGAGTGGACAACCTTGAGGAACACCACTTGAGGTAATCAATTCTGATGACAGTTCGCCATAAGCTCTCACTCTACCAGTCGTGTTCGAGTAGAGAGCCTGTATAAGGTTAATGTACTTCTTTGGTACTCCTTTCAGTGACAAACACTGCCATAGAACCTCACGATCAATAGAGTCGAATGCCGCCTTAAGATCGAGAAATACTACCATTGTGGAGCGTCTGAACGCGTGTCTGTGTTCTAGAACCTGACGTAGTGTGAATATCTGACCTATACAACCACCTCCAGGTCGAAAACCAGCCTGATTTTCTCTAGTCTGCTCTTCACGAGCTTTAGTTGGGCGTCGAAGTATAACTGTTCAGTGACTATATTATCTATATTCCTTTTATTATAAGCTTCATTTTACCCATAGATTATTATTATGATACGATTTATTATTTTTAAATTATACTCAGTTTATTAATTACCACCAACCTCCACGTTCACAGCCGCTTTTTGGCTTAAACTCGTATAAATATTATTTCTTATTTTATTGTATGGTGCGGTCTGTTTGGCTGGCACATAAACAGAGTATGTTTGAAATAAATGATTCGTATAGTGGGAGCTATTATTGGTGTTCTAGATTCAAGTGGACGGGCTAGGCGAACAAAGGACCAATAAAGATTGTAGGCTACTCATACCACTCGGACGTCATTGATTTAACACAGTACTAAGATTGAATAAGTCGTATTTCGATTGGAGAATAAATCACGTGATAACTAGCCGGGATTAAAGACACAACAAAATTAGAATCACTAGGATAAAAACTAGGGTCCAATTGCCAGAAGTTGTAACCAGTAGAGTCAACCAGTCTGAAATGAGGTCGTCACTAATCACTGACATTCAATGATGTTCATAATATCCAATGTATTTCTGAGTTTAGATATGAATTTAAATTCACTAAATGATATCTATGAAAATCTGAAAAGCCTCGATTAATTCTAATTTTTTAGAGCTATGGTTGAAGCTAATGACAATCCACAAGTTGGTGTTATATTCTGGAGATGAATAATTTTTTTATGATGATAGGTTTCAAAAAATAAGATAGCCATTTCGTAGAGTTGTTTTATTAGACTTTCACTACTCATTAATATAAACTTGAAATTTAATTTATATATAATCTGTCTGTATCCTTCTATCAGTAACAAGTTTTGAGGTTCTTAATCTCACGAGAAAGTACCAAGACTTAAAACACAAAACAAAACTATTAATAATTAAAAGTTTCAACTAGTGACTAACTAATATTGAAACATGAATTACTTTGAATATCATAAAGCTGATTATCGTCTTCTAGGACACAATATTCCACATACTATTTTCTCATAACTAATGAATGAAAAGGTTTTCTCATTAATAAATATTCCTCAATTATAAGAACACCTTTAAACAGTCTGATTAATTTCCAAAGTTAACGAAAGATGTAACAAAGATACATCTTCTTAACTTGAGGACAATTTATTTAGTACTCAACCCACTGCATTATTCTCTTTTACCGAATGCGTGTACTGTGTAGTCATCCACATTTATTCTGATTTGTAATTAAATTATTATTTCTTTGTCACTATGTTACTCATAAATGTTCTGATCAATAAACTCACAGTTTCATTTCACGTATAAGCTCATTTAAGTTATCATTGTGTGTTGGTCATTTCAACATTAACGATTCTATTTTATTTTACAAACAATCCTAAATTCATATACACAGACAATGGTGGCCAGCAATGGAATTCAGAATGCTCATTACGTCCTATTTACAACTCGTCAACCGAATAAATGTATAGTGTTTTACTGATTGATTTCCTGTCGAATTAGCACGTTCCTACTAACTAACCATTAAGTAGTGGCTAATGTTCAAGGGTTTCTAATAAACTTTTTTAACTACCGAGTAGTAAATACAGTGCAGCCGCTTAATTCGGTAATCGAAATTTAAACTTTATTCAATGATATTTGATCAATACTAGGTTGGTAACAATGTGATATTTATCAAAATTTAGTAATCAATTAGTATACCATTATTTATGATAAAATTTATACCAAGTTAATAAAAGCAACAGCTTACAATTTGACAAAAGGATCAGAGAATCCATTAAGATCCATTGGGGCTAAATTAGCGCAACGAATTACTTCAACATATAATTGTTTACGATCTTCTAAATAGCCAAGACCTAGTTGTATTTTACCACGTGTTGGGCATGCTAAATCAAATTCACCACGTTGTATCTAGTAAATAAGATAAAAGTTTATTATCATTAAGTTGGTTTATTGTAATAAATTACATAAATTAGTTTATTTATCATTTAAGCGAAAAATGTCTTGAAACACGTAAATAGAGAAAGAAATCGAAAATAAAAATGTCTACTTATTGATGAGATTAGTTTAAAGATCGCGCTACATCAAAAAATCATCGATAAAAAAATTCTTTGTGTTATCTTTGGAACTTAAAGGTTTTGAAACTGATCCATGGTGTAAAGTAGTAAGGTTACAATGTGGAGAGATGTCAAACCTAGAAGAAACAGGTGTTTTAAATGATACCTGATTTTCGATTATCCTAGAAACTATTCAGTGACATGTTAATTAATGGTTCAAATCCAGAGCTTGTTTTCATTTCGTATTGTAAACGAATCTATGAAATCCCATTTAAGTATGTGAAACTAAGAGTTTCTAACTAATTATCTCTAAACATCTTCTGGCATCACTTCTTTTGTTTTATGTAGATTGAAAATTGTTACTTCACCTCGATAAATCTGATTGATATGCTGAGTATTAGTTGGTATGTAACGATTTGTAATTTTAACTACCCCGGAAGCAATGGCCAAATCAACGGTCACTAGTCAATGATTAGGTTCAGTTTCATCGTTGATTTGTAGCTTTCACAATCGTATGTGCTATGTCATTTCTATACTTAACAACTAAATATTTTAAAGCATCATATTTCTAATCAGAATCAAATTGTAAACAGTTGGTAAAGCGTAATATGTAACAATCATAGGTTTTTTAAATATCAGATATAGCTGGTTTTTATTAAATACTATTGAAAAGTCTGCATCTACTCTATGCGAATGTGTTATGTAATAAATGTTTGGAATCGAATAGCTTCTTTCTATTATTGACTCATAAAGTGTCAGTACTTTCTATTAATTTATTTTTGACAAAATGATACAGAGTATCAGAGTGGGTTGAAGAATGCTGGTTGGCAGCGGATACTTCATTGGTAGTAACAGGCGTAAGTAAGTAAGTAATACAAAGTACAATATTAATGAAGTAAATACAAGTTGAAGCTTGTCAGAAGTAATAAATTTACTACATTCTTTTGGTAAAACTATTATATACAATAAAAATAATAAAACTACCGGTTTATGTGGGCCAAGTGGAACTGAGAAATCGGTTAAACGATTAGGAATCAATTGAGATAATTGTAATCGATATTCTCCAAGCCAGTCAGAACCATACAAATCTTCATCAAGTACAGCTAATCTAAATTATAAAATAACATTTAATTATAATAATAAAATATTTTAGTATGAGGTTAATCATCCTTATTCAATGTTTAATAAAAGTGTAACGTTTAGCGTTTCAGGGCATTTTTCTGTTCATTTATTGAGTTAATGCTCTATATGAGAGAATAATTTTCACTAGAGGCTTTATATCAGTTATTGAAAATTATTTGTACGTATTTTGTATAAAGAATTGTAAAGTTTAAATACAGTCTTTTTCATGAGTCCATAATTCCTCAAGTTTGAAATTATGTAAGAACTCATAGAATTGTAGTACATTACAATTTAACTGTGACGACGGACCACGGGTGAACTCGAGGAAGCCATAGGAGGCTCAGAAGGAGCTGAAGATATTCGATCCAATCACCATTTGGTAGAATATTCTAGAGTTTCTAAGTGTAGCTTCCTGATTGGATAACGTCAATAACCCCCTGTATGCGGATGGGTGGACTGTAATGATTTTTTCGCTCTTACTAGAAAATATAAATGTCTGACAATTTTGTACTATAATTGACACTGTTTGGAATAATATTTTTTTCATTAGTCTTCTGTCTTCTTATTGCGACTTGGAAGTGTTTTGGTGTTCTAGTGCTCAGTTATAAACAGTATATCAAGAGAACAACCTCTCAAGATATAAAATTAACAAAATTTGAAAATGTGAACCATAGAATTTTGCTTCAATCGTTCAAAAGTGTTTAGTTATGAATTTTTTTCACTGTTTTTGGTTCTTTAATAGACAATAAGTATAGGGAAGCGGAAAATAGAAAGTCCAAATAACACATTACGTAGGGAAATAGAAGCAGATATGAAAAGGATGAATAACAACTGGAATGAACTGGAAAGCATTTCCCATGACAGGGTTAGATAGAGAGTGCTGGTGGGCGGCCTATGCTCCTCCATGAGAAGTAACAGGCTTAATTAGGTAGGTGTGTAAAACCATATGAAAAGTCTAAAACTAGGACAAATGCAACGATCTAATTCATTCCAATTTTGAAAATCGTTTAGTATATATCAATTACTAATAAGAATTATCTTATCTAACCAACAACAAAAAAAGAAATGGATACATGCAATATATGACAGATTGAAAAAAAGTAAATGCATGATTTATTGATGATAATGGTTCATAACAGTCAATGATAAATTTTTCAGATTATATATATGTATATATGTACATTGTTTTATGAATAGATTGGTTGACATTTATCCTTTATATTCACATATAAGAATCTTCTATGTATTGAGGTCTCACAATGTCTCATAATTAGATTATCAATTCTAAAAGAAATAAACGTTTATTTGGTCAGTATTCATCAGTCTATTCTTTCGAATAAATAATTGACTAAAGTCAATTAATAAGCCATATGTTAATTATATATATTTCACTGATTGAAATCATGAGTCAATTGAAGCTAGACCACCATGGAAAACCTGGAAGCACTGGATGGCCGTTTCGTCCTAGTATGAGACTCCTCAGCAGTGAGCATCCACGATCCCTCCTCCCGTGAGATTTGAACCCAGGACCTATCAGTCTCGCTCTAGGCACTTAGCCAGCTAGACCACTGAGTCGGCCAGCATCCAACGGTGATAATGTCTAACTTCAACCAATCCATGAAGTTGCGCCACCGTACGCCATTGTCTTCAGTGAGTTCCTATCTCACAACAGACCTGGTAACGACGTCTCACTAGAACTCCAGGATTGTCTCCTGAAGTCAGTCACTAGTGAGCAGGTGATCATGATTTCAACCAGTGAAATTTCTAAAAATCTCCACAAAACCCATTCTGATAATATACATATTTCTTAGTCAAGTTTTGTTCATTTTAGAAATCTATATAGTTATTATTAATGATTGGGAAATAAGAAATCCTATTAATTTTTTCATTAGTTTCAAATCAGTTTCATTATGACTGTTTGTAAATAGAGTGAAAAAAGAAATGCCAATTATGATTTGTAAATTTTGAGGGTTAGCTTATTACCTTATACGAATATTCGTCAATATTAGAACGAATAGTTTGACAGAAATAGAGTGCCAAATATAAAGAAGTTCTTCAGGGTAATAATCAAGTCCAGACAAGTTAGCTGGATGAAACGTTGGAATTATTTTAAATTTCAATCGCTGAGATTATGTCAAATATAATTTTCACATATATTGACTTAGCTTATTACCGTTTAGTAGTATGTATAATTATGATACAAGAGAATAGAGTCAAAGAATTTAGGCCATATTAGTACAGTTCTGATGGTTTTATAGTCAACTATATTTATAGATTCTAAGTTTAATAAATAGTGTTGTCATATAATTGATAATTAATTGTGGGGGATGTTACTGATGTCGACAGATATAAGTAGTATGTATCATCCATCAAAAGTGAAATACCTGGAAGCAGAAGGTTAAGAAAATCAAACAAAAGAAAACGACAACAATCATTGATGTGGAAATAAAAGAAAAATGAAGTCTGTGATAAATGATTGATATTTTACAAATGAATTATTTATTGTAAAGTTCTCAGATTTTATTCTGATATATTCTATAATTTTGTATTCAAACACATTTGATTGTCCCTATTTATGTTCTTATTCACTAAAAATTTAATATTGTGTAATGTACACGCTTCTTGTAAGAAGCTTACTCTTAAGAAACGTATCAGTGTGTCAGTGAATGATATACACAGTTGTGTATAAAAAAAGATTATACTTTCCTTGATGAGTCTTAGATTAACTGTTACAGATATGAGAAGAAGCACGGAATAAAATTGACGGCTTAGAATCAACTAGACGATTTGGACTTCGTAAATGACCTGGACCTTCTATCCCATACACCCGAGCAAATTCAGATGAAGATAACCAGTGTAGCTGCAGCCTCTGCATCAGTAGACCTGAAAATACACAAAGGAAAACGCAATAACCACAGATACGACATGGAGAACGCCAGCCGAATCACACTTGATGGAGGAACCCTGGATGAAGTGCAAACTTTCACGTACTTGGTCAGCATCATCGATGAATAAGGAGGATTGGATGCAGACCTAAAGGCAAGGGTTGGCAAAGCAAGGACAGAATCCCTACAATTGAAGAACAAATGGAACTCAAAATAACTATCTGTCAACCAACATCAAAGTCAGAACCTTCAATACGAACATCAACACGATTCTACTGTACGGAGCTGAAACTACTGTAAACATCATCAAAAAGGTACAAGTATTTATAAACAGTTGTCTTCGTAAGATACTCAATATCCTCTGGCTGCATACCATCAGCAACAGCCCACTGTGTGAGAGAACAAACCAGCTTGCAGCCGAAGAGGAAATTAGAAGACTTTGCAGGTGAATAGGACATACATTACGGAAATCATCAAACTGCATCACGAGGTAAGCACTAACCCGGAGTCCTAAGAGGAAATGGAAAAGAGGAAGGCCGAATAACGCACTACGTCGGGAATGGAAAGCAGACATGAAAAGAATGATTGCCAACTGGAAACAAGTGGAAAGGATTGTTCAGGACAGGGTTGGATTGATAATGCTGATGGTCGGCCTATGCTCCTTCATGAGGAGTAAAAGGCATGAGTAAATAAGTTATAACATGCAATGAGCGATGTTCTATTTTCAGGGAAAGTTTATAATTTATTCCAAGCCTTAAACAAATTTCATCGTTTAAAGTTACAATTTTGCTATTTTTATAAAACTGAACATTATTTAAGAAGTTATGTCCCAGAGTGAACATCAACCCTGAGATGTAGTTGCATCCAGCTGACGAGTCCCAAACAGGACGAAACACGCGTCCTAGATTCTACTGCTAGCCACTATCCATCTTTGCTAATATGTCATATTTTTGTTTAGTACTATGACTTTTGGTTGACATATGTGTTTCCTATGTGGGTTACGTCGATATAATCTTTGTGAACACAAGTTTTAATATTAAAGATGAGGACATGACTAACAGTGTAATCCAGAATACAGGTACATCCAGATAATAAGTCCTAAATCGAAAAAAACGATGTACCGAATTCCATTGTTAACCATGTTTCATCAAAAAAACACAAAACAACCTTGAAATAAAACCACTTTTTTTTCAACAATGACAATTTAACATTAAGTTATTTATGTGTAAAAATGCACTTAAAGTTTGTTCTTAATTTAAAATAGAATTATAATCGGTCACTATTTACACAGAATACCCAATTATAATACTTTTGGCCTACTACCTCAAAACAATTTAATCTTTATTCAATAAAAGACAGTAAATTTTATTTAAATGAGGAAAAGTATGGAATCCCTTGATTATAGATTTTTATTTTTTTAAAAAAAAGAAGGCGTAGAGAGTAACATTCATTTTCTAGAAACATCCGTATTCAGTTGTGTTGTTTTAATGATTGACCTTAAACAAACAAACAAAATAAGCGGATTTATTGAATTGTAGAAATGAGGTTAAATTAGTAATATGTAACAAAATCAATGATTTATTCTTCATTTTATAATAAGTAAATTCATTTATGATACATTGAATATTGCGATTAACTGTTTTCAGAAAACTTTTAATTTAATTAAAGTGATATTATTTTCAGAATGGGTTTTCTGGAGAGTTTTAGAAATTTCACAGGTTGAAATCATGAGTCAATTGAAGCTAGACCACCATGAAAAACCTGGAAGCACTAGACGGCCGTTTCGTCCTGGTATGGGACTCCGCAGCAGTGCACATCAACGATCCTGCTTCCAGCGACATTCGAACTCAGGACCTATCACTCTCGCGTGCGAATGCTTCACCTCCGGACCATTGAGTCGGTCGGCATCCAATTGTGTTAATCTCTAATTTCAATCAATCCATAAAATTGCGTCCACGTTTCCATGGTGTTCTACCTCATAATTTCAACTATTGAAATTTCTAAAATCTCCACAAAACCCCTTCTGAAGAGAAAAGATTAATTGAATAGTTTCATAAAACAATAAACAAAAATGAATGAATATGAGATTAATAATCAATTTTGTTTTACTGTATATAGAAAATATAAATTATTTGTTGATTAGTTACATAACATAGAAACAAATATCAAGTTTTAATATGGTAACTGAAAGATTATTTATTGAATATAGATAATAACAAATCATTGTATAATGAATGGGAACATAAATAGGGACAATCAAATGTGTTTGAATACAAAATTATAAAATACATTAGAGTAAAATCTGAGAACTTTACAATAAATAATTCATTTGTAAAATATCAATCATTTATCACAGACTTCATTGTTCTTTTATTTCCACATCAATTATTGTTTGTTGTCGTTTTCTTTTGTTTGATTTTCTTAACTTTCTACTTCCAGGTATTTCACTTTTGATGGATGATACATACTACTTATATCTGTTGATATCAGTAGCATACACCAAAATTGGTGATATGGTGGAGAAATAAATGTTAATAAGAAACACTATTGACCGATTATTTCATACTCACTAACTGTATACTAAAAGTTCGTTTGATATTATCTGTTTGATGTTTAGAACTGCAACTGATCTGTCTCTTACTGGCATATGCACACCCTGTGTGGATTGCCTTGATATTGCCTTAATTCATAAGGATTGTAAGCAAAGATGGATAGTGGTTAGCAGTGGGATTCAGAACGCGCGTTTCATCCCAGTTGGGACTCGTCACCTGGGTGTACCTGTATTTCAGAGCTGATGTTTACTCTGGGACTTGAACTCAGTACCGTTCACTTCAAACACCATCGCGTTATCCACTTAGCTATTGAGCGTTCATAGCCACTAGTTTGTGGAATGTGGTGAATTTTAAATTTAGTCGGTATTGTTTACTTGAATGTTTCCATTGATGTATACTAACAGTCTGTGTTATTATTTGAACAAGAGAGATATCCAATTGTATTCTTTTTTTGGAGTCATGATGAATTTCTAAGTAATTTTCATCATGGATTGATATGAACAAGTGAATTAGAGAATATCAGAGGCTGCCTAATAGTTGCTTAATTATAGTTTAAGGAGCTACGAATAACAATGTTTAATCTGGATGTAATATATGACAACAATTATTTATAGTCAAATGATAAATAACTTTATTTGATGATTATGTGTCTATTTTTGAATCTTAAAGAGTTAGTAATTTATCAACGAAAATTCTGTTTAATCTACAGTATGTTAATACTACTTAAATAGTTTATTGTAAAAGACACAGATTGTTTTGTACACGTTCTTTGAATACATCGTAGTTGATGGGTCTTTAAAAAAAACAAGTTATTTGATTATATTTTTAGTGTTGAAGCTATTCTATCAAGATATTATCGAGTAGACCGGATTGAAGTTGGTTTAATATTTAGCAGTAGTAGTAGTAGTAGTAGTCGTAGTAGTAGTAGTAGCAGTAGTACCAGTTGTACTCGCAGTAGTAGTATTAGTAGTAGTGTTAGTAGTAGTAGTCGTAGTAGTAGTAGTAGTAGTAGTAGTAGTAGTGGTAGTAGTAGTCGTAGTAGTAATCAAACTTTAAATATATAGTAATGGTTCAATAATGATAATTAATGTGAATTTTCAACTAAAACTAATTTATTCTGAATAGGGAAAGTTTTGTTTTAAGAGCTACGTATGATAATTAGTTTTCCAACTGGTTTAATCAATTGATACTCTTAAGTAGCAGTGAACAATGTTACTATACACCCTTAAAGATATAAATAGTTTTCCTAAATATTTTAGATACACCATATTGATAAGTGTTAAAGATCATGTAATCTAAATACAGTACTTCTTATAACTCTAATAATGAATATACAAGTGAATATGTTCCTAACTGAACAGTAAATACTATACAGTTCTTGAGTATTAATAATGTTTACTTAAAAACTATAAATAAATGCCTGTTATAATCTATGTAACGGAAACAATAAAACGAAACAACCATCCAATGCTTCTAAGTTTTCAATGGTGGTCTAACATCAATCTATTCATGAACTCAATCAAAAACTCATTAAAATCTCCACAACCCTATACTGATTGAAGAAAAGTACACACACACACAGACACATACAATCCCACCTTAATGTTTTTAATTGAATATTTTTTCCATCAAATGGTTCAAAAGTTAATGCTTCATTCCAAACTGGATTTAAACATTGTGGTCGTGTTGATGTACGTGGTGTTGTACTATTATGACTTGTTGGTAATAATTGACATACAACATAAGGATCAGATAAACCATTTGCATCCATTGCAATTAAATTCTAAAATAATATAAATCAAAATGGAATAGAATTGATATAGATTATATATTTATTATGATTTGGACAAATGAAATTAATATAGTTACAATGTTTTACTAGACAATTTTTTACAAGCTTCTTCAATAAACGAATTACAATTATCACATATCAATGAAGTCAAAAACACTTCCTTTTCCAATAAACAATGATTGAATTGTATTCACATAATAATTCGAATCTCGCGGGGGATGCGCACTGTTGAGGAGTCCCACAATAGGACGAAACGACCGTCCAGTGCTTCCAGGGTTTCCATAGCTTCAACTGACTCATGATCTTAACCACTGAAATTTGACTTTATTAATGTGAACATTAATTACCTATTACGTAACATATCAAAATTGTTGCATGCAATGATATATTCTCATGCATATATTATCTGTAACTTACTTTGGTAGTTTTATATGGCCTAAGCCTATGACTAGATTATTCTAAACTTCAATGTTATTATAAATACAATGAGTTTTTACTAAAGTATCTATTGTGTGAAAAATTAGGTTAAAATTGTCTGTTAACATGTTGGAAATTTTAGACAGATGTATTAGAAAAACGAATTGTAATAACTACCTAAACAGTCGAATGTATATTATTGTTGTTGTTGTTGTTGGTGATGATGATGATGATGATGATGATGATGATGATGATGATGATGATGATGATGATGATGTGATGATGATGATGATGATGATGATGATGATGATGATGATGATGATGATGATGATGATGATGATGATGATGATGATGATGATGATGATGATGATGTGATGATGATGATGATGATGATGATGATGATGATGAGTAAGAAATAGTTATTTGATACAACTATCATTCTTTAATAGGTAATAACTCCAAAATTACATCTAATAACACATTATCCTGTCTACTGACATTATTTGTCCATATTTGTAATGCTTCTCTGGTCCACCAAGGTGCTTGGTACCTATGTGGTCGCGCCATAGGATTGAGATGTACTATTCAGATTGTAGCGTTAAAGCCTACATGGTGTCTGGTTCTCCTATGAAGCGGGGTTGAGTTGTTCTGCTCGGGTTATGAAGTTTAAGCCTGAATGGTGTCTGGTTCTCCTGGAAACGGGATTAAGCCGTACTATTTGGGCTACAAATTTTAAGCCTGTGTGGTGTCTGGATCTACTGTTAAACGAGATTGAGCTGTACTGATCGGGTTATCACGTGAAAGTCTGGATGGTGTCTGGTTATCCTGAAAACCAATGTAAAATCACATAGGCCAAAAAAGGTATATTATATAACTAACTGTGTAAGGCTTCTCTGGTTAGATTTTATTTATTGGACAATGAGCCTTTTCCAATTTATCTAAAATTTGTTATGTTTCCTGTTTTAAATTGATATAATAGTATTGATGATGTATTCTGCAATTCCGTGTGGTCTTCTGAGATTTTGGGACTGTGTTTTAAGCACTGTTCATGTTTAAGCATCGTTACATTCAGTGTGTTTTCACTACGGATACGTCATTAAAATTACAATATTTAATTTTGTAGACGGAATTTCGCTGTTTCTCACTCCGTTTCTTTTATTTCTTAATCAACACATCTTGTTTTGTTTCCCTTATGGGATTACTTGCAAATTCACTACCAGTTCCCCAATCATTAATAGTCAGAACTAATTATAGAAAGCATATTAATGTAGCTCCACCCACAAAAACAATTTCAGAAAATGTGTACGAATATACTAATTGCCATTTTTTTATAGTTTAGATCACAAATGAAGTATTGGATAGCTGTTCTGCCTTAGTATGAGACTAAGCAACTTGTATCTATGATCTCATCGTGTTATATCGATCCTAAGATCGTTGGTATTGTACAACTGTTCAGTGCTTTCTGGTTTATAATGACTGTCCAAATGAAATTAGTCCGTAATTTAAACTATGAAAATTTTACAATTTCTATAAAACTCGTTAGTGATATAACTTATTTTTTAATTTCAAACGTCAGTCAGTCAGCTACAAAGTAGAACCAGGCACATATGTGCATCGGTCCAAGTCGCCATACCTCATTTACTTGAACATGGTTCTCGTTCCATGATGAATAAAAGCCGCAAACACAACTTTTTATAGCATATCTTGGATACATTTATCATCAAATGACTCAAATCCTTACAGTTAATAAAATCCACATTTGAATATAACTGAACAGAACAGGATATTACTCGAACATATCTATTTTTGATGACTAACTTCTATAGAGTTTATATCAAAACCACCATTAAAACACTTGAAGCACTGGACTCCTTAGTAGTGTACATCCAATGCTCCTAGGTATTCAGTGGTGGTTTGTGAACATTTTGCAATCTTCACAAAACCCAATACTGACGATTTTAATTTTGATTATTTTCTTGAATAGGCTTGAACCAGATTGTCGGACAATATGTATACTGTGTATCACGCATCCCCTAAAAAATCAATCTTAATTTCATATAATGATCCAAGATCATTTTCATTCATTGAAATCCAATGTACTTTCGTTTTATTAAATAACTTGAAGCGAAGTCTATCCATTGGCTTTCAATGTATTTTCAGTTGTAATTACTTATTTGATTATCAATCCATTTTTCTTTACCTTGACTATTTGGCTTGGATTTTGTATCCTATAATAATTACTCAGTTGGTAAAATCCTGTAAATAATAATAATTGAATCAATTTATAACTGAATAATGATGCTTCCCAGGTACGTGAAGGATTTCACATCTTCCAGAGTTTCACCATCAAGTGTGATTGGTTTGATGTTCGCCGTGTTATATTTAAGGACCTTGGTTTTCCCCTTGTGTATGTTAAGGCTTATTGATGCAGAGGCTGCAGCTACACTGGTTGTCTTCATCTGTATTTTTCTTGTGTATGGGATAGGAGGCCTAGGTCATCTGCGAAGTCCAAATCGTCTAATTGGTCCTGAGCTGTTCATTGTATTTCGTGTTTTCCCTCAAATGTCCAAGTCTTCATCATCCAGTTGCCCCGTCAGATGAGAAATAATAGCTTAATACATAAAGGTTTCATTGAAGATGTTGTGTCCTTTCAATGTATGTGATTCTTTAGAAAATATAATTTCGTGTTTAACTGAATCCATATACTGTAAAACTTTCTGTCTTCTCATGTAATTCACAATAGCTTTTGTGAAAAAAATTCAACCAACGACATACAACATACATAATTATAAAATATATATGAAATTTAATCTATAACAAACAACCTACTTTAGCTTTGTGAATAGCTACATGAAGTTGTTTATTCAATGTATCATGATATAATGTAAAGTAGAGCACACCGAATGGAGCTAATGGTGATTGAATGAGATAAAGATAAAAAAATGTTATTAGTTTTGACGGGAAAAAATAGTTACTCAATTCTGTATGAGAATTTCACTATATTTATGTACAACCTATTCACTATATGTTTTTAAAAATTACACTTCTTTATGCTTTTGGTTGCATTCATAGTTATGAACAATGATTTAGGAGATAAAAGGCATTTATAGTTGAACAGTAACATCCTAGGCTATTGAAATCCTAGACGGAATGTCAGTATGCTCAAAGTTATGGATACACCTTATTAATGAGTATCGAATAGCATAAAAAATAAATCCGTGATGTCCTACCGACTATCTCCAATTGCCTAACATCTGAACACAGTGCATGTAATGTCAAATCATTTGGACTAATGGACAAATTACAAGTTGGTCGATAGAATTCGACCAATAATAAAGGACTAGACAAACATGACATTAGTCACGACTTAATGGGCGATAAATTATATTTATTATTCTATCGTTAGTTGCTTATCAGTGATGCGTAGCTTAAACTTTTAATGACTGGTAATGTTATGAATTAAAGCATTATATACTTGAGTTAATAGAAAGTTCACCGACTATCTGATTATTAAACTCACAAAAACACTTATTCTTATCATTATCATTTTTGCTTATGAATTATTCTCTCTTACTTGACTTGGATCAATCTCCACAAATAAATAAACATCCAAATGAACTACATTGTGAAATGTTACTCTTCTGATTTCTTTCTTATTTCATTACAAACTTTTATATTAATTTCATTTACTAAAGTATGTTAATCATTTATTTCAGTAAAGTTGAATAGTGTCTAGTAGTAGAATCCAGGACTTGTGTTTCGTCTTATTTGAACTTGTCATTTAGATGTACCTAGATCTTAGTGTTGATGTTTACACTGGAAATCAAACTGTATACTTTTCTATTCAAAGCCCTAAAGTGTTGCTCACTGAACTATTAGATCCAGTTAGTCATTGCTTGTGTAACGTGAATGAATTTAGTGTGTAATTGTTTGTATCTTGTTTTGAAGTCAATCACTTTATGAAAAACTTGTGAATTCATGGCAAGATCTTGGAAATCTACTAAGAATGCACACATCTCAAAAAGAGACTGACCAATTGCAGTATTTAATATCAATGGGAAGATACAAACACTCATAAATCATTTGTTTACTCGTAAATTTATATGCCTGATGAAAAGCTTCGGAATAGAGTCAACGATACGTTTTCAATTCAACTTGACCGACTATTTTAGTTTGTTCAGTAAATATTATTATTTACATTATTATCATACTTGCATTATGTATTTGTAGATTTCAATCTTCATTCAAAACCTTTCATTGCTGAGGGAGTAAAATAATCATTTTCTCCTCTATTTCTATAGATATATATGATGTATGTGAATTAGAAGGCTTTTTTAAAATTTTATTTCAACACATAAATATTGGTACAAGAGGGCACCAAGTATATATATGCACCACACCATATTTGTGTGTGTGGGCTGTGATACTGTCCGGGTGCCCAAACCAAAGCAGGTGGTTTTCTTAGGGGGCCACACCCCGAGCCTTTGACCTAAACGTCTGATCCACAAGGCAGTGGAGCATCGTGAGGAGATGCATTCCCATAGTAGCCGGTGACCAACGATTGGTTTATACGCCATTTGTTCCTTCAGGATACTGGAACCCATGTGCACCATTGGTTTGGGATCCGGTTGAAGCGCCGGGCATTCGCTTTTCGTCCTTTCATTTTCGGAAACAACAGTAGTGCCACGAGAAGGCAGTGAGTAGGACTTCCCTGGCAGAGGTTGTATATGCGTGGCCTTGTGAGAGCATTTTGAGAGGGAGGGCGGGCCCACCCTACTCTCGGCCATACCAGGGCATTTAGGGGCTAGTTAGTCAGTTAGCAACAACGTAGAACTTCAATATAGACATCTTCGAAGTTTAAAGTCTAGTCAGTAGTATTATTACAATTAGAAATCATTAAAGACGTATGCACGAAATGTTTCAGATTTTGATAGAAAGAACGTCTAAACGCTTGAATATTTCAAATATCAACCATCGTTTTTCACACTAATTTTATTACGTAATTAATTTAATAGGCTAAAAACATACATCATCTAATCAACGTAAATTTATTAATATTCGTTCGAAGTTAATAGACGCTTGTGGCATCTGAATTTTCTCCATTTACCTCGAACTTACTTTAGCATTACAAGTTGATGTAACTTGTTAAAATATATTTTAGTTGAATGTTACCTCTGTAAATGGTTTTACATAAAATGAGACATTTTCTTCTTCAAAACATCTAGAAAAAGTATGATTATAAAATTACCTTCTTCACTTGAAGATACAGTTGAACGTCGTACTGTAGACGTGGCACCCGATGATGGTGAAAGAAGATTGGATGGTTCTTTTTCACCTGTTAAACTTGCAACTTTCTGTGTAGAATTGGCATTTGTAAATGAAGAAGCTAATGCAGAGGCTGTCGAATGATTAACACTTTTATTAGATACAAATGACGGATGAAATGATTGTGCTGAAACAGGTGACTGTGGTCTCCATAATGAACTAGTATTTAGTGAATCGGATAAAAGACATGAGGCCGGCGAGATATGAGTTATATCTTGACTATTCGTAGTTGCAGGCACATTCGTATATGTTGGTGAATTTGATTTGGGTACATCAACAGTACTTTGATCCGGTGCAGTATATGAAGAATGTTCCGGAGATTTCGGAAATCCCTTAGATATTCCACGTGTTTTCGTACTTGACGTAACTATGGTAAGAAAAAACATCATTTTCATTCAGCAACATTCAGTATTTTACAATAAAATGTGTTCGAGTACATTTGAATTAAGGACAAAACTTAATGACAAGATATGTTGAATATTTATGAATTTTTACATGATCGAACGTGTTTTTGTAACATTAAGGTGAACTGAATAACTAAATTTTAAGCAACTCTGAGACTTTCTGTCTGTTTACAAAAGCAAGATAGATAAATATAAGGAATAAAACTACCTACATAAATGTTCTAACAACTGACTGATTCTTAAACTCTATGACAAAACTAACTATTTTTGTCCTCAAAGTTGATTAATCTGACAGTACACTTTCAACAGCATTCATCAATATATGTCTTATCAAAACTTATAACTAGAACAAATTATATAAAAACTAGTTATAGTCACTTTGTATTTACAACTGATTAGTGATTGGGTAGTAACCATTTTCATCTATCTGGTTCTCTCGTTACTTCTAGAAAGCTACAAATTACGTTGTTGGTAACCTAAGTGAAATACACCATGTTGAGACTTTAGATGGATGGAGTTAGTCAACAAGAAACTTCAAAACTTGGTTTCATGTTAGTGGTTAATATCATAATCCTACGGGAGGTTAATTGAAAACTGACTAGCTCAGTGATAACATCTTATACTGTGAAGCTGGGTAACACTAGTTGTAATGTCACAGGAAACACCAGTTTCCTCAAGTTTACGGGTATATCTTATTGACAAGTCCCGACTAGCACAAAACCTATGCCTATGCTTCTTGTCCATTGTCTTCAACCATTAAATAAGTCAATTTATATGGATTTATTATTTCATCTTATATGAAATATTTCAGTTTGCCCATGTGACTTATCAAGGAATAAAAATATTAATTACTACTTCCGGTTGTAAAAGTAACACTTTTTAATGGGTATCTGATGAAATATATTTGTGAAGTTGTTAATTTAGCACCACTTTTTGAAATTTATCTTTTTAAACGATTTGATTTGATTTGAAAAGTAAAGATAGTGTTACATAATGACAGTGAAGTTTACACAATATTGTCCGTTGTCAGTGTTGTGACTTTTGATGTACGTTAAATATTAAGTGACCTATTCACCAATCAGAATATGACTTATAAAATCTTCGCACTGTGCCAAACCAATGACGTATTGACCGATATGAGCAGCTTAACATCCTTATTGGTCCTTTTTCTTGCCTAGCCCTGCCTGTTGAGTCCAGAACACCAATCTTAGCCTCTGCGATATGAATCATGTATTTCAAACATAGTGAGTTTATATACAAATAAAACAGATCACACCACAACATAAAATAGAAAATAACATTTGTACAAGATCTAGCCAATCTGGTTCTTCTATCGCACACGCAACAACAAATGCCGGAGAAGTCGACCAGTGTAACAGTAGCCTCAGAAGTAATAGGTCTCAACATACACAAAGGGAAAATCAAGATTCTCTGATACAACACAGCATACATCAATCGAATCAAACTTGATGGAGAAGATTTGGAAAATATAAAAACCTTTACATATCTAGGCAACATCATTGATGAACATGGTATATCCGATGCAGATGTGAAGGCGCGGATCAGCAAAGCAAGGGTAGCATACCTACAACTGGAAAACATCTGGAACTCTAAATCTCAAACAACACCAAAGTCAGAATTTTCAACACAAATGTCAAGAAAGTTCTACCGTATGGGGTGGAAACTTGGAGAACTAAAGAAGCCATCAACCCAAAGATACAAGTTTTTATTAACAGTTGTCTACGCAAAGTACTTCTGATCCGTTGCCCGGACACTATTAGCAACAACCTACTGTTGGAGAGAACAAACCAGATCCCATTGGAGGAAGAAATCAGGAAGAATCGCTGGAAGGGGATAGGACACACAATGAGGAAGGCATCTAAATGCGTTACAAGACAAGTCCGCACTCAGAGTCTTGAAGGCCAAAGGAAAAGAGGAAGACCAAGGAAAACATTACGCCGGGAAATGGCGACAGACATAAGAAGAATGAACAACAATTGGATAGAAATTGAAAGGAAGGCCCAGGACAGAGTGGGCAGGAGAATGCTGGTCGGCGGCCTATGCTTTATTAGGAGTAACAGGTGTAAGTAAGTAAGTAAGTACAAGATCTGGCAAATAGTGGCTGTGATTGTGAGAGACAGTAATTAATAAACTGGGTATAACTTAAAAAGAGTAGATTGTATAATAATAGTCTAAAGGCCAAAATAAAGCATATAATAAGAGGAACACGAATATACATAATCGAGTTCCACAATAGTTATACAATAAGAATATATGTATAATATTTGCCCGTAAATATTTCGCAGGAGTTACCTATAATTTAATATTCACTAGGATATAACAGTCAGTAACAAAGCATTTACAATTACTTTCATCCTATTATTTTATGGCACATACTAGTGTAAATATTTTTTCACTGTAACAAAAACTTATTTCTAAATTGTATGTTGATTTCATTTGGAGTTTAATTGCTAAGTGATCTTAGACTACCATTGAAAACTTGGAAGCACAGGACGGTTGTTTGGTCCCAGAACTGAACTTTCTAGAAATGAACAATAAAGAACTTACATCCAGCAATTGAACCCAAACTTTTCGGTTTTGCCCGAGAATCTTTAACCTCTAAACCATTAGGTCATCATTTAAAGGTACATATTTTGTTTATGTGTTTATAGTCGTCATGTTTAATAGCTTCGTTTCTGAAGACAATACTTAGGATAAATTAATTTGTTCATTATCTATGAATAAACAAATCGATCATATAGAGTGTCGTAATTTAACTGAATTGTTTGTAATCTTCATCAATTACCCGGTTTATTATATTTAAACAACCTCTACTCACAGCCAGCTTTAAACCTGTAAGTTTAATACTATTGTTTACTGAAGTGCTTACCTTTCTCTATAGTTTTTTTTTCAGTGTATTTGTTCAGTCAAAATCCACATGATGTTAATGATAAGAATAGTTCAGATTATCTTATTATTTTGTTATTACATGTTAGTGCTTGCTTTGAAAGGATAATCTCGATGACATTTTCCTAATTCATATTTCTACAATAACATTTACTGTCAATTGATTGGTTGTCATCGCCTTTATTTTGCCTTGTTATGAGACCCAAAGTCATCGAATGTTACGATGGAAACTTTTTTTAATTTTTTTTATTTTTGACTTCTGTATGGAATATGAGGTTATCCTAAAAGTCCTATATTCCCCATTAGAGGGTGGATTTTTAACGTTTAAACGTAGTTCTATGATAGTCAAGATTTAACTGACGATGATGATAGTAAATACTGTCAAACTATATAATACTAGATTGAATATAGTTATGTTACACAGTAATTTTTTGATAATGTGGGGATATACTAGTGATTTAAAAAATTCTGAATCAACCAGTTTCCCATCATGAATATGAATTGTTGAAAAAACAATTACAAGAATGGATCAGTTTTCAAGCTATGACAATTTGGCTAAGAACTAAAATTCGAAATCAGGATTCATCAGAAAGCATCATTTAGTGGGCTAAATGAAAGTTATACATTACAAACCTTGGATAAAGTTGATAAGTTTTATGCTACAGATGATACATAGATCGTTGACTAATTCATCAAAGGCGTTTGTTTCTTCCCTCAAAATTATACCGCTAGAACTCTAGAAGATATTTCCAGAAGTTTATCTAATCATTTATATTGCATTTCAAATCAGAAAATTAAAAATCTATCCCTGTAAGCCTAATAAATATGATGAGATGTAGATCTTTACTTCAAAGATTAATGACTTTTAAATCTGACCGGAGAAGCTCTTACTGTAGATTTGTTTTCTAAGCATTATGTATTCTTTGATAATTTTGATTTTAATCATTACCTTGTAGAAGTCTAGACCAGTTTATTAGAGGGAACATTAGAATAATTTAAATTTCAAACTTCGAGATTATTTAAAAAAATAAGTTTTGCTAAATACTCAATGCCGGATTTCTGTCAAACTGTTCTTTCGAATAACGAGAAACATTCTCTCAGATTCCTACAATTATGTGCCCTGGTACGGTCGAGAGTAGAGAGGGCCCGCCCTCCCTTTAGAAATGCTCTCACACGGCCATGCGTATACAGCCTCTGCCAGGGAAGTCCTACTCACTGCCTTCTCGTGGCACTACTGTTGTTTACGAAATTGAGAGGACGAAAAGCGAACGCTCGGTACTTTAACCTGGCCGGTGGACACGGTGAGTCCACCTAGGGGAGTTGGGAACCCCTGAATCCAAACCAATGGTGCACATGGGTTCCAGTATCCTGAAGGAACAAATGGTGTTTGGACCAATGGTCGGTCACCGGCTACTATGGGAATGCATCTCCTCACGATGCTCCACTGCCTTGTGGATCAGACCTTTAGGTCAAAGGCTCGGGGTGTGGTCCCCTAAGAAAACCACCCGCTTTGGTTTGGGCACCCGGACAGTATCACAGCTCATACACAAATAAAATGAATTGACAATATTTATCTCAAGGAATCATCAAATGACTGATCCAACCATTATTTTTACATGCTGAAATAAATAAAAAAATTGTATTTAACACTATAATTAAAGAAGATTATCTACATAATTCACTGGAATAGTAATCACTATGCATCAATATGAAATACATAAAGAGTAACCGTAGATGACAACTGTTATTATTATTGCGATGTATGCTACTGATGTTTGCAGATATATGCAGTATATAACAACAATCAGAAGTGGAATGTCTACGAGCAAAAGGTTGAGAAGTTTGAAATGAAGAGAAGAGGGAAATGAAATTGTGAAAACAATCAAGATAACAACAGAAATGAAGTAACCATAAAGCTTGTAAATGACAATTCAAAGGTATGTAAATGATGTGTTTGATGTATGATTTTCACATTTTGCTAAACCATTGTATTGATTAGGCACCGAATAATTAATTGGTCTTCTCACCTGAGTTCTTGTTTATTACATTATCATTTAGTAAGTAAGTTTTATTTACCGAAGAATGTGATGAATCACTTAATTAATTTGCATAATTTACATGATTATTTCAATATTCAACTTTGAAGAATGAATGAAATAATTGACACATAAAGAACCTTTCCATTTAAATGTTCTAATGAAGATTTTAATTATGCTTAACGTATAAAATTATTAACATTAGGAGACTTATTCATATTTTATATAAAATCTAATTTAATTGTGCATTACCCTTGACAACAATATTCAATTAAGTATATTATGAAGTACAGCAAAAGATGTTTTATTGTTACGACCTACTATTTTTCGGACTATACGATGATTAAATCCAGCTGGAATATTTCTAAACTTTTATGTAGGATCAAATTAAGTGACCACAAATGCATATCAGGTAGATTTAACTAATAGGCAATCAATGTAACTTGATAACCAGTGAATTTCAATCAGTTTTTAATAAGAACTGGTTGTATAACTGTATCAGAATTCTCTGAAGAGTACATAGAATACCACGTCTTCTGAGACATGAATTAAGGCTCTGAATACTATCTACCTAATCTCGACTACTAATTGTTAAATTTCATGAAAAACGCAATGGTATTCTGTTGATAACAATCAAAGGTATCGGTTCGATTAATCTGGTTTTTGTAATCTTAGCTCCTGTAATTGTTGAGGAATAACCAATTAGCCTGGACGCGAATATTCAGCATCGAACGAGTTTTAAAGCTTATCATACAACTGCGGAAATTAGCTGTATTCCTTGGTCCAAAGATGAAATTCAGCCATATCTATCAGTTGGTCTTGTAGTGGTGTTTTTTTACAAATAGGTGAACCAAAACTATTTGCTTCCCTACTGATTGCAATTGATGAACACGACTGAGCATGATGACATAAAGGGTGATACTTTGAAATGATGCTTATCTGTGTTACGTCTAAATGTATTTATGATTATTTGACTAAATAACTATATATGTGATTTCTGTGATGTATTCAAATATTTATTGTTGTTCAAACAAAGTATATTCTCTTCCACTAATAGGTTTAGAGACCGGTAACAATATATATTCCTAATGATGTTATAGCAACACTCCTACGAGTAATTGTGATTATAATTAGATTTCTTTAAGCTTTTTTTATTAACTTATTCAACAGACAATGTTATTCGTACAATAACAATTCATCTGTTTCTTTGTATTATTATGATCACTATCATATCTGTATAATCATGTATGCTTGATCATAAGTAACAGCCTACACATATATCCTTTTCTAGCTTAAATGTTAATCGCTCAAATACCGGCGGATAAATTATTCTCTTTTTCATGTATACATGTGCTCAAATCTTAATAATTACCTTTGTTCTGTCTAGCTGCGCCTTGATTCGATTTGACTGCAAATTCGCTACTGTAATCGCTCGCACACACACATTAACCTTTCTTTTCTCCGAATTCTCTAGATGTGTTTGTAACTTTTTTATCTGTGCTATCCGCTAATAAACTCTAGTCGCCGCTTCTTTGGCCTTCTGAATCTAAACACGATCAGGATCTATATAATAACGGTTATCAAAGCTAAGCTACTATAGTGTCATTATATTTCTTCTTAAGATAGGGGAAATCATTAAATTTAAGTACTCATTAGATAATATTAATTCAAAAGCTTAGCAATCAGTGTATGATGCAATTTATTTCATTTACTTATATGTTATTTTTATCTTAAGACTAATAACTTCATTTCATTTCATTTCCTCTTGAGTTAGCGACCACATCCCGTAGAAAACTCACTATAAAAACGCTAATCAGAAAAAATAACTCAAACTATTTAAACTCTGCCCTGAGAGTTCGAAAAGCTTCATTTAGAAGAGTTATGATGCCTAGTTCGTTCGGAAGTCACGAGGCTGACGTCCATTCCAACAACCAGAAAAACCATTAATTTAGGTAAATGGAATGCTCGTACGATGTGAGAGACCTGGAGAGTCATCCAAATTGTTGCAGAAATGAAAAAATACAACCTGGAGCTGTTTGGAATCAGTGAAACACATTGGACGTGGACTGGACAACAAGGGAGCTGCCGTTACACTCCGGTCACGAAGAAGAAAATGCTTTACATACACAAAGATTTGCACTTATGCTATAAGTTTTTGAAAAACAATGTATCAAACGTAAACAATTTACAAGATGAATTGAACTTTTCACTTTAACAATTCGATAAAATCGTCATCCGTAACGGTATTTAAATGTATGATAGAAACTATAACTTACCTTCATTTTGTGGTGCATCTTTACTTGTACTCGGTAAAGATGAGCTATCAGCTTCTGATCCTTCAGGTTTAGAAGGTCGTCCTAAAAAATAAACCATAAGCTGTTATAAAAATAAATTTCATTGAATTTTTAAATTATTTCTTATTTTAAATAATAAATAAATCAGAAGATTTGTGGATATCATAGTAATTTCAATGGTTGAGATCATGAGTTAATTGGAGCTAGACCACTATGAAAAACCTGAAATCACTATACGGCCGTTTCGTCCTATTATGGGACTCCTCAGAAGTGCTCATTCACGATCCCGCCTCGCAAGATTTGAACCCAGGATCTATTGGTCGCACAATAGGATGAAACGGTCGTCCAGTGCTTCCAGGTTTTCCATGGTGGTCTAGCTTCAACTGACTCGTGATCTCAACCACTGAAATAAATAAATCCTTATGAATTTGAACCGTCAAATTATCATGGTAAGAATAAACTAAAATATTGTTTAAAGCTGGTTCTCTTACCTTTGCTTTTTAAATACTTAAATAGTTGAAACAGTTTGTTTAACAACGTTTTTAAGTTATAGATTAGTTATTCATTATGATATCTCTCAATAAAAAAATTTCACCGAGTAACTGACTAATATCGAGGTTTTGGTGGAGTTTAATCTTTGAGCTGAATGGTTTGGTCGTGAAGCTTTTATCGTTCTCCTTGATATGACGGGATTAAAAAGCAAAAATAACAATCTTTTACTCATTGTAACTTTTGCTCAACATTACTTCCCTATGTTTAATCGATTGTGATAGTTAATCAGTGTAATAATGTAGTGAACAAGAACACAGGTGGGGACAATCGAATGTATTTTAATACAAAATTATAGAATATCTTAGTAAAATCTGAGAATTATACAGAAAATACTTCATGTCATTCAATTGTCTCAGACTTCACTGTTCCTTTATTTCCACATCAATCATTCTTTGTTTTCGTTCTTTTTTCTTCGATCTCTTTAAATTTATGTCTCTAGATACTTCACTTTCGATTGATGATACATACTGCATATATCTGTCGACATCAGCAGCACACACCACATTGTTTGTTTGTTTTCCAGTGTGATATTTTATTAGATATAACATTAATTTGTTTGAGTCTGGTGTTTATTTAGGATACGAAATTCTTGTAACAAATTAACATGAACTATGCTCAGCTTAGTATGCTTAGCATGGTAGAATGTTATTTGCTATAACTCTGTGTATTTGTCACACATGTGATTACTTTCTAATTAATAATCAAAATGGGTGTATAATCAATCAAACGAGTGCATTTTCCACTAGGGTCGTCGTCGTAGTTTGTACCAGTCTTTGTGTTTTCATTTTCGCGTCGTAGAAATAGGATTAGTTCCTTGTTTTTCAAGTATAAGTGATAAGCGATTCTGCCATAACAGTTAGTGACAACCAGTCGTAACACTTGTGAACGATATCGTCAGGACAAACTTCTACCTGATGAAAGCTCTACGACAAAACCATCCAACTCAGAGAACAAAACTTCATCAAAATCATCTACCTGAGCTACAAATCTTTCCATCAATCGAGGTTTTAAAATGTAAAGCTGGATAGCACGGGTTTGAATCACACAACCGACAGGAATTCTCTCTAGATTTCAAATACTATTTGCTAACGAACACCAATCAATTTAAAACTTAGGTCAAGTACAGTTTCTTACCTGGTGCCATTAACCACCCAAAATTCAATAGTTTAATTATTCATAAAACATATTCACACATTACTATATGGCTAATAGAATATAATGATAATTAGATTATGGAAATGTCTCAAGGAACCTCAATATTATTCTTATACATGATTAATGTTATATTGTACAAATACGAATTCGCATAAAATTTCACAATACAATTCATAATCTTTACCTTCACCAAAGTTATATATAAAATTTAGAAATCTTAAAGTCTAGATTGTTTACATGTAGCCCATTTTACCCTGTTACTGATATCAAAACATTTACCATCTTTAGTAACAATTTTTGAAAGGAATGTTGTAAGGAGAGAAAGTATTAGTGTGAGTCACTGAGGTTAGGAAAATCCCTGCAAGTAGTTAGGTGTCATGAACGTTATGATCTACCATGCAGTTTTGTCAGTCTATTTAAAAATGTAACTGAATTTATTAGTAGTAGTATTAATGGCTTTATTCAATATTATATTTTGATACAATATAGAGTTCTTAACACAAGTTATTCCAACAAGTTTCTGTTACAAAAAAACAAAATAACAACAACAAAAAAGAGAAAGGAAAAAGTTGAAAAAAACCTGAAAATGTACAAGTTTTCAAATTAGAGACATGTTTAAGAATGCAGGTTATTGACTAGGTTAACTCTAACAACCTGTTCGTCACAGAGTATATTTGCTAGGTAAGGCATTATAAAACTTTTACACTTTTGCTTGCGTACATGGATTTTAAAGTACTTACGTCTCGTTTTACCAGAAGATATACAAGGAGAAAGATATGAGTGAAGAGGATGGTTAGTATCTGATAAAATAACACATGCCAGGAGTTCGCATGACTTGAGATGTCTATCCACAACCATATTAATTATGACCTCGAAAAATTCACTGCACACCTTGCCAACTGCCTTCAACACTCTCTGAAATACAGCAAAATCTTTTTTCGAAAGCCCGGGAAAGAACAATGGAAAACAGTAAAGAATAATAGGTAATATGCATAAGTTGACAAACTACTAAAGTAAATGACGAGTGATCCCAAAAGCATGTAGTCTCTTTATGTAGTAAGACAGACGGAAAACCTCCTTCGATAACAGTAAAACATGAGAAGACCAAGAGAGATCAGAGGAAAAGGTAACACAAAGATAATTAACCTTTGACACAGTGTTTGTGTTTAGCAATATAAATCATGCTTCTCAATTACCTTACTGGTTTACGGAAGCACATGTTAATATCAAATTCACCAAAGAATGTGAACATAATGATTAATCCTACTACTTAGACCTGAAAACTTAAGAATTATGGAGCAACCACGAAGGTCACATTCAGGAAAAAAACGGAGACTCGAGTATACCGAAAACGACCCCCAGAGATCGAATTTTCAACTTCGGCAGCAACAACCCAAGAACTCACAAAATCGAGTGCTTAGAAACTTTAGACAAGGTGTGGCAAACAGACTGCACCACACAGTTCGAAAAAATGAAAAAAATCTGATGACTATCCTTAAAAAAGACGGTTACCCGCGCAATTTCATAACGAAATATCAACCCATTTCATCGGCAGAAATGAAATGAAATATAGAAACCAACAAACAGATCATACTACCATATATGAAAGAAATTGCAACGAGATTACTGAAGTCATTTGGAATAGGTGTAGCTCACGAAGTAGCAATATTACTTCAAATAATCCAATGCAAGCCAAAGGACAAAATGGCAAAAGAAGAAAAACAGAACATCATCTACAGAATAAACTGTTCTAATTAAGAAAACACCATAACAAACAAAGTAGACACACACTTCATCTTTCCCTGTATGAACATCAATTAGCGGTCAAACTCCATGATATATCTTCGCTTATATCAATGCATGTGGACAACTTCGGACTCGCTTTCAAGTGGAAAAATGTTGAAATCGTGGACAGAGGTAATAGTAAAATTATCAGAGAATTTTTAGAAGCATAGCACTCAGGTTAAATAACAAGCATATCCAAATCTATCTAATCTACCAACCAATCAGAAAAATCATAGACAAATGTACTACCAAAATCAAATCAAAGGGAAACACAATCAAAACAAAGAGGTGGACAATGACCGGTTAATGATCAACAATAACCAATCAAGATCGAGGTCGACAGGACAAGCTATGAGTCATATGATGAGAAATTTGAACATTGCACTTCTACCTGGAATTCGTGCTGATGATGTTGTTCAGAAGAACAATAAAAGCTTCATTACTTAACCATCCAGCTCAGAGAACGAAACTCCATCAAATAAAGGAAATTTATCATGAAGCACGGAAAAATGAATGTGGAAAGTATCAGACAAACAACTGTTAATAGAAAATTCGTCTTCATCCGGCTTACATTCACAGATGAAGAGATATCTGGCAGGATCGATAAAAGGATTAAAGCAGACTTAAAGAGAAGCTATCCTGCAGCTCAGCTATTTTCTGTGTATAACACCAGATATATCTCAACTCAGTCAAAGTGGATCATTACCGTACTGATGTCACACTTGAAAGTATTTACGAATTCACATGTGCTTGTGGAAGCAAGGAAATAAGAGGAACTATAGAATAGCATATTTAGGATTTGCGGAACGAATTCCCCTGAGTCGTATCTGAAGAGAAGTAAAATACTCACAGGTGCGATTACTAAACGTTTGAAAGATAGTGTATACAACGCAGAAATCTCATAAGCCTTTAAAATAATTAACAGACAATATACACAATCCGCTATGTAGAGCCCATTTCCATCAAGTGCTTTCGATCTAATATATGTTGGTCAGAATCATTCAACATTCAATTGTTCTTTTTGTATTGTACATATTTTTTATTGATATAGACGATTGATTATTAAATATTACGATAACTATCATCAAAAAGGTAAAAGTATTTATAAACAATTGTCTACGCAAGATATAGAAATCACCAAACTGCATCACGAGGCAATCACTAACTTGGAATCTTTAAGGGAAACGGAAAAGAGGAAGGTCGAAGAACATACTTCGATGGGAATTAGAAGCGGATATGAAAAGAGTGAATAGTAACTGGAAAGAACTGGAAAGGATTGTCCAAGACAGAGTTGGATGGAGAATGCTGGTGGTCGGCCTATGCTCCTCCACGAAGGGTTACAGGCGTAAATGAGTAAGTCATCAGCATGTACTATTTGGTATTAAAAGACAAAAATGACCTGACTATCTAAATGAAATCGGTTATACCCCACTGTCAGTACATCGAAATTAAATGAGTTAATGAATATGGAAAATACGTATAACTAATTCATGGATGAAAACCACTAAGGTTATTACGAAACATCTTTACGCAAGTATTAAGCTCAATAAGGTGGACTATTCTCAGATAGTCAATTCACTTTATTATTTCAAAATAACTCTTTAGTCAATGAGATTGTTGGATATAGGAGATTACTTAATCTTAATGAACCGTTTTCAGTGTATTACAAAAGGAATATAAATACAGATTTTTCTAACAAAGTTTTGTGAATTATTTCCGAGGTTCGCTTCGGTGATATTATCACAAATTATCGAGTGCGATATGCGATTAGTTTCTTATTAACCAACTTTAAGGTGATGACTAACATACCATAGGAAGAAAAATCGTTACGCTGATCACTCAGCGAGTATCAATCATCACCATTATGTCTAATCATTAGTGGTGACCGTATTTTTTGGATCAATTTTATGGCATGTTGATTATCTCAACCCGATGTACATTAAAACAATATTTACTCATTTAATCTAATGACTATTTATCAAACTTCCTTGTTAGAATATTATCAGCACAAAAGGATCTGACAACATAATATTGTTTACTATACGCTAACTGCTTAGCATAAAGTTACGTTCGAATAAACAAAATACTATTGTATTTTAGAGTTATATAAGGTACCTAAGAAACAGGTATACGATGGGATAAACTGCACTAATAAAGTAGATAGATAAAACTCTAATAAGTTGTTGAATATATTGTATGATGGGTAAGGAATATCTTATACGTGACATTACTAATAATAACAAGAAAAAGAAAAGCAGGGATTTATCTACAGGCATTGGTGTTAAATCATTACATGTAAGTTCTTTTTAGTGGCCCTATATATGACTGTCATTAATTTGTATGAATGAGTGTTATCAAAATATACATCCTGGATATCCACATGTATAAATATCGACTTAATCCGTGTTAGTGAATAACGGAATTAAATAGGTCAAATACGAGAATGGATATATGAATACGTATATTTTGTACACTCATTGATTTGGATGGATAATCAGAGAGACGAAGCGATGGATGTGAAGATAAGAGAGCGAAGCAAAATGACGAGCAATGGAAAAGGCGTGTGAACCAACTCGATTTAACCAAGAGTTAATCCATACTTATAGTTACACAAAAGTTACAGACATGTGATGAGTAGGATAAGAAGTGTGCACATATACGCTCACATAAAATCAGTCAAGATTAATAAGTGAATAGTTAACAAGGTCAAAATGTGACTCAAGAAGAATGATTGAATTGGCCTATTCATAAGTCAGAATAAGTTACATGGGCTTAATATAGTAACCGACACTACATCTTCATCGATTATATATTAAGTTCTGTCTTATATTTCACCTAAAATTAACTAGAGAATATACTTTATTGCATAATAATAAAAACTTACGGTTAGGTTTTAATTGTATCCATTGTTCTGATTCATTATCAGTATGTTCAATATGACTTTCGTTATTTGTATTAATTTGTAATGGTTTCACAAGATCTGTTATATCATTAAATATTTGACAATTATTATTAGCAGGTGTTGATGATGGACTAGATGGACAACTTGTCATTCGACTACGTGGAAGACTTTTATAAAACCATGCACCAGAACGTTTCCAAATCTTAAAAGAAATATATTTTTTTCATTTAATGAAATAATAATGATAATCAATAATTAAAATTGATACAATAAACCGTTCTCATAAAAGGTATATTTATTTATTAGCTGCATCGATGCATACTGCTCCTCTGAAAATGCATTGAATAGTCTGGCACCTGTAAGTGTATCTCATTCCACAAGTAGTATTATAGGAACTTTGAATGTTAAGCCATTTTTGTTAGTGCATTCTCTAAGTAAAACCATCTACTTACTGTCAATTTATGTTAACACCTTTCCCAGCAAGTTTAACTAATTTGAATAACATCAACAGTATATCACCGGGTCACATGACACGCGCATTTAGGTAGACTTGATTGACATATTTCGGTCATTACTGCTTTGTTTTTCCGTGCTCTGCGCTTTCGTTTTAATTTCTCTAGTTGTAGATAATTATCATTAATTCGATCTGGCACACGAATTGACCTTAATTACACCGTTCATAAATCAACGAGCAGTCCATTTAAGAAATATTAAAAATTCCCGGCTGATGCATTGGATCGCTGTAATACATGTACTACCTAAACAATTACTGAACTAGTATACTATGTGACCAAACAATAAATATGTACTGTGTTACTGAAGTGATCAGTTTATGAGATGAATTTATGATTACCTAATAGCATTAGTATTTACTTATAGAATTCTCAATATGGTTTAATTCTCACTAGAATGTTGGAAATTTATATCAGCGTTAGTTACTGAGAAAAACAGTCGTTTATTATTTTCGTAGATGAGTTATAGAGACTAGTTCACTCTGAAGATAGTTTTCGTTATGAACTTTAAACAATTAGGTTTTACTGGACTAGATAATCGGTGGGAAGTACCATAGTTTTTGACTTGACATTTCTGAATCTGATTCAGTATACAGTTGTTAATAAACACTGTCTAAGATGAAAGAACTGGCACAAATCATTTATCTAAAATAGATATTTCATTGAAAAAATGGCCTATTTTCTGTGAAAAACATTTTTCTCGGACCTAAATCAATCTGAAAGACACTGCTTAGTTTTAAATTACAGTTTTTTCTAGGTTATATAGACTCATTATACAATACAGCCTATAATAAAGTCCTTCTTCTAATAGTCATTCGCTGATTCATCTTCATTGTTTTGCTACAATAAATCGAATTGTTTCACTATTATTTCTACAATTGGCCTAATGAAAATGTTCGATTTTCCAAAGAGTCTACCAATTAATTGAATGGTTTCTCAATAGTTAAGGTTATTATCTTGTTTAATTGTATAAGATGTGCGTAATATTATAATCGATTTTCACTGCTCGGTGTATAGACCGTGACATCGGGAATACGGTACAGTGAATATTTCTTTCGTTTTCAATGGGGTTTGTTTGTAAAATTTCAAACATTTAAAAATCCATAAGTTAGATACAATATTTTTACATGAAAATATTCAACAATTGATATATATGTTTTTTGATTGAGGTCATGAACTGATTGATGTTAGGCCACCATGGAAAACCTGGAAGCACTAGACGGCCGTTTCGTCCCATTGCGAGAATCCTCAGCGGTGCACGTCGACGATCCCGCTGGTTGGATTCGAACCCAGGACCTTCAGTCTCGGTCGAGAACGTTTACCCGACTCAGTGATTTAGTGGTTAAGCGTTCGCGCACAAGACTGAAGGTCCTGGGTTCGAATCCCACGAGCGGGATCGTTGACGTGCACTGCTGAGGAGTCCCGCAATAGAACGAAACGGCCGTCCAGTACTTCCAGGTTTTCAATGGTGGTTTGAAACCAATTAGTTTATGATCTTAATCAAAAACGTAATAATCTCTACAACCCTATACTGATAATTGATGAGTAAACTTTTAAACGAGTAATAAATTAAATTTACTTCTCTTGCTTCATAACATATTTTACAAACAAATGAATGATTATCTCCTTGACGTGAATTCGCTTTAACTTTAACCTTTTCAAATAATTGTTGACTATGTAATGCAGCTGAGTTCAATGTACCCATTAAACTACTTCGACGATTTAAAAATCGTGGTTTACTTGTATCATTTGTTAATCTTTTTAAATTATTTGAATTATTTAATGTTGTATTTCCATTTTGTCGAGTTTGATCCATTGTAAAATATGTTTGATGTTTTGATGTATTTAATAAATTTCCACTTCCATATGTATTTGACATCCATTGAAAATTAAGCAATGAATTACGCTTTGTGATTGGCTGTCGATATAATGGTGGAATAACTAATTCTACACAACATGTTGTACATACATAACGACCACATTCTACACAAACTATTGGTAAATTACTTAGATGACCAAATTCTTTATGACATAATGCACATTCTTCATTTTTTCTAGAATCAGCTGTTTGTTTTAAACGATCAAGTTTCTGGAGCATTGCTCTGAAAATAGAAAAACATGATGAGATGAATATGAAACAATCTTTGAGAGAGTTTATCAGAAGATAAAACAAATGAAAATTAGAATTTCTTCTACATCTGCAAATGGGAATATTGTTGGATATGTATAGGTGGACTAGTTCTACTAATCAAACTTGAAGTGTGGAGATAGAGATTCATAAATGAATATCGATGTGTATTTTACTCCTTATTAGGTGGTTGTTAATGTAGGTCACTTCTTCGGAGAATAAATAAATAATCGAATAAATTTATTTAAATTGGAAGGATGCAAAAGAGTTCTGAGTATGTAAAGTGTGACGTTATCCATCCCTATTCATACACTTTTCCGTTCATTTGATGATTGGACATCTCACATAAGAGCGTAAATTGCACTAAAGATTTCGTTTTAAGCATTAACATTTATCTAAATCTATCTGCTACAAATACGTCATTGAATTACATCTTGACGTCCCGGATGAAAACACAAATATTTTAGAAGTTGGAGCTAGCAATAAACTCTCCAGTGGAAATTACATTTATTGGTTGCACTAACCCCCCAAATAAATGAAAATATATAAGAAAATGCTTGAAATTGAATACATATTGAACGTCGATACTGATGGATGACTTTACACCAGTTGAAATGTCATGACGCTTCGGTCAAAACAATGCTGTATGAGACATATTTGTATTCATCTGTTTGTATGCTAGTGGATGTTAAAAAAATGTTAAATTCTCAGTATAAAAGAGTAGAATTGAATTTTTGCCTGTTAACAGACTTAACATTCAATTATTTAGATATTGTTATTAAGATAAATGAACGAAGATGGATGGATGGTCAGGCCTTCTCTTTTATTGAGCTCAATGAGGTTGAGAAATATATGGAAAGCTTCAGCCAATCGCCTTATTTATGGTTGAAATACCCATTAGATTTATTTAAATGTTCAATATCGATTTGATCGTTGTTAAAAATAGCATGCACAGTTGTTCTTATTTATTTATTTATTTGAACACATAAATATTGGTACAAGAGGGCACCAAATATATATACGCCACACAAAACAATGAGAATTCGAAGAGAGAAAAAAACAATAACGAACAGATTAGTGTAAGATAGTGTAATAATAATAATAATAATTGGGGAAACGGAAAGGTACAATCGGAAAAAATCTTTCAGTTAAGGAAGAAACAACCACTTTTTATGAAGAAAGTAAAAGAAGGTTACAGCAGGATCGCCACTGGCTTTTATTCCGAGCCATGTCTGATAACGTCTCTAGCCACTGTGTAGCACCATCTCTCGGACCCCAACCAGGGATTCGTGAAGGACCAACAGAAGCCAGTCCTTTGCAGCTTTCTTTCATACCACGACACCATGTCATGCACTGATCACCTCTCCGCTTTTTCCAACCAGTCACAGTGTCGGCAAATAATGCACGACATGGAATTCTCTGGGACGACATTCGTAGAACATGTCCAAGCCACCGAAGTCGGTGTTTCAAGATGGTGACACCAATTGAGTTATCATCTCTGTGCCCGAACACACGATGCCGAACCTCTGCATTACTGACATGGTGTTGCCACTGGATGTCAGCAATCCCTCGGAGACAGCGATGATGGAACACAGAGAGTCTTCTAACGTCCTCAACTCGGAGAGGCCAGGTTTCGCAAGCGTAGAGCGAATCTGCTCTCACCGACGCGTTGTATATCCGACGTTTTACAGCCAGACTAACATCACGAAGGCGCCAAAGATGGCCTAGGTTGGCATAAGCCACTTTGGTTTTTACTATACTTGCATTGATATCATCACTCACAGTTGTTCTACAGAATTATTAAGTCTTTTATTATAGTTTACTATCATAAACTATCCATTCAATACTCAGTTTATTTGATGATATCACAATGAGCCTCAGTATTGATATTTAACAAGTATTTTTGTATTGTTACGTAACACGTAAATTAACATAAAAATACTTACTCAACTCTAGCTTTTTCATTTTCAGCTAACAATTCATTACGTCGTAGAACACGTAAAATTTGTTCTTCTTCATCTGTTGTTAATGGTTGAGCTCGACGACGTTGTGCTGATTGAGCTCTAGAAGACCAACCTGTTCCAAGTCTATGAGATTTATAGAAATATATATTATTTACATAGTTACTTTTGTTATCATATATATAGTTGAAAGATTGTATTCAAAATAAAGTAACTGTCATTATAAGAAATATTAGCAAGTCAAAACTACTTAAGTAACTGTCTCATTATCACTTTTCAATTACATATCATTTCGTACTCGTGAAAATATAAAATTTATGGTTTAATATGAAGCTGTTATAATTTAGTTACTATGCCAGAATTTTAAAATATCAAAAATATAGAAATGTGTATACGAAATTCAACCGATTCTGAATTATAAATGATTACTTACATAATAATATTTCATGTTGTAATTTTATTTCCCGGTTTATTTTATTTCCAACAAATTATATTGTCAATAATATAGTTGAATATAGTTTGAGTTTTCAATAAGCATTTAAGTAGTATTACTCTGATCAATTCAAGTTAATTAGACGATATCGAGATTATGAACCGAATGATGTTAAACTTTCATTAAATACTTAGAAGTACTGGACGGCCGTTTCGTCCTATTGTGGGGCTGCTCAGTAGTGCGCATCAATGATCCCGCTCGTGGGAATCGAACCAAGAACTTTTAGTTTCGCGCGCGAACGCTTGACTTCGAGACCACTGAGCCGGTATGCAACAGTGTTAATGGAAGATAGTCGCGCGATTTCGTGGATTGGCTGAAGTTAGACACTAACACTATTGGATGCCGGCCGGTTCAGTGGTCTAGAGGATAAGCATTCGCGCACGAGACTGGAAGCTCTTGATTCGATTCCCATGAGCGGGATCAGTGATGCGTACTACTGAGGAGCCCCACAATAGGACGAAACGGCCGTCCAGTACTTCTAAGTTTTCAATGGTAGTCTAACGTCAATCGATTCATGATCTCAGGCAAAAACTTTATAACCTCAACAACCCTATACTGATAATTAGACAATGTGTAACTATAAGATTTTCAAAAATCTAGTTGATTTAATCAACAAACTTTTAAAAAACAAAAAAACTTTTTAATTCTATTATTTTTTGTTTTAGCTTTAGGGCATTTTTTTAATCATTCAGAAGTTAAGATGAACAGTATGATTAATTAGATATGAAAATTATATTTGGAATAATCTTCACAATTAAAATTCCAGTAATTCTAACATTTTGTCCTGCGAACTTATTTGAACTTCTTCAGTATAATTAAATCTTGCATAGATATTAGATCATAAATGATGAAATTAAGAACCGAGAAGAATACAAAAAATCTATCATACAGAATAATAAATAATAACAATAGAATTTCATAGGTTGAAATAATGAGTCAATTGAAGCTAGACTACCATGGAAAACCTGGAGATATCAGCTCACTGAAGACAATGGTGTACGGTGGCGCAACCTCGTGGGTTGGTTGAAGTTGGACATTAACACCGTTGGATGCCGGCCCAGTGGTCTAATGTTCAAGTTCTCGCTCGCGGAACCAGTAGGTTCTGGGTTCGAATCCCGCGTGGGTGCGGGATCGTGGATGCGCACTGCTGAGGAGTCCCATACTGGGACGAAACGGCCGTCCAGTGCTTCCAGGTTTTCCATGGTGGTCTAGCTTCAATTGACTCATGATTTCAACCTATGAAATTTCTAAAAAAAATCTCCACAAAACCCATTCTGATAACAATAGAATTGTCATATATGTATATTTGTATGTAAGTGAACTGAGGAACCCATTGTATGAATGAAAGTAACGATATAAGGGTGAAAATGTCAGTACATAAGTAGAAATAATATTGTAACCTGAAAAAACGTTATTTTGAAATTGCTTTACCTGTAAGAATTTGAGAATATTTGCTAAATAAATTTTATAATAGTCGTAAAAACCAAAGTAGAAAATATTCTCAATTTTGATTTTCTGTAAGAATAAAAATTAGGTCAAACAGAGTTTCCAACCTCCACTTTAAATCTTAATATAAGGCATGCGATGTTGACTCATCTAGATTAGTAGCCATATTGCTACTTGATCGATGGGACCCGATTCCCATCGAGAAAGACCTGATATACATGATATTGGTCATCAACCACTGATCAATCAATTGTAAATGAATCAGTTTAAGTTATTCTTTATAAAATTTGTAAAAAATGTCATTTCATAATATAGTTTTCACTAATTATGATTGATGAGTTACTAAATTTAATTAATCTAAGTATTCTATTCATGATAAGTGATAGTATAGTTATGATCAAAGTTGATTTACCACTTCTATATTCTAGCTACTGAATTTATGGACTGATGGAGAAGATTTTCAATTTGAATGAATATTTCTTGTGTTGCTGAATTCTCTGAGCTAAATGGAATAATTGCAAGTGTTGTAGTGTCAGTTGACATCTTAAGCCCATATACCTTATTTTGGCTTTCGGAGACAGGCCAGTCTATTCATTCGACTTGAGTCATATTTTGACCTTGTTAATTATCCGCGTATCAATCTTGACTGTTTTCATATGATCGCATATCTGTGTATACATTTATTATCCTATTACTCATCACATGTCTGTAACTCATTTTTGTGTGACTATAAGTATTGATCAACGCTTGATTAAAAGGAGTTGGCTTACCCGCCATCTTCACTGCGCGTCGTTTCACTTCACTCTATTTCATTCACTTCATATACAAAATATACGAATTCGAAAATCCATTATCGTTATTTGAATTATTTAATCCCGTTATTGACTAATGCGATTTAAGTCTATGATTATATACTAGGATAGGCGACATATATTTCGACAGCGATCATTCATACGATCAAATTGGAGTTCGATCTCGGGCCGTCAAAGTGGAGAGCCCATCAGCAAACATCGTCCGATCTAAATGACGACAAACTAAAGGGCCCCACTAAACACTTACATCGTTGTTCATGAGAAAATTACACTTAGCTAAGTGAGAAGAAATTGAAGATAAACTTCTCAGTATCATGAATAGATGAGATATTTCAAATGGTACACTTATTAAGGTATCATAGTTAGTTGAATTGTATCCGTAGGTATGTATTTAGTGTTACAAAATATGAATTGGCTGATTCTTCATGAAACTCATCATGAAAAAAACTAACTAACTTGAACTTATAGTTCTCACTTAAACATTGGAAAAAGAAAACATGAAATTCAGTAATAAGATCATTCATCAACGATGTTACTATCTAGTGATGCTATCGTATAAACATCTAAACTTTCAAGTATTGACACCAGAAGGACCGATGAACAATGAATAAAAATAAAGACATAGTAATAGTAAGACTATAATGTTAGGTTATATATTATAAATGATAATGATAAATCGATAGTATGTCCACAAATAAAAAGAGCTTGTCAATATATTAGATTAATAATGGGTTATTACATGAGTAATGATAATTAAAACTTTTTGTTAAAATGATCAACGGTAACAAAGGAATTAAATTAGATGAAATAATTTCATAAATATCTGTGTGAAAAGAATCATCGAGATATGGGAAATAAGTTGAGAGAGTTACACTTTCAAATACAAAATTAATGAAATGAAATGACATTCAAACAATAATACTAGTAGGAATGGTCATAATAATATCTTTTGAGGTTGCTATGAAGACAATAGTAAGACGTGCTTCTTCTGTGCATACAGGTTAGGCTACATTTCATGAACGATAAGAGCTTTTGTTGTTTACATTTGTTGAATACGCAAAAATCTTCGTAGATATGAAGGAATTCCATAAATAACCACATATGGATCAGCGAACTAATTGGAATCGATTAAATGCTTAAAAATAGACTTGAATGCCTTTCTCTCACCTTTGTAGAACAACATTAGAATATTTTCTTATAACCGAGCTGAAAGAAAGCACTGGCTACGGCCTATGTACTCTATTTTACAAGAGCAAACGAACTGTAAGATTCACATAGAGGCAATCAAACGAAGGAACTTGTTCCTTACGTGTACAAACAAAATTTATACTAGTTTGTGTTAATCATATCACTGACATACAGAACCTTCTTTTGAGTGCTATCAATAATCGATTTGAATGTACATCAGAAGTTTGATCATCTTTAACTTCGAAATCCGTATAAATATTTTTATTTGAAAATGAGTTTCTGGATTATCTGTTCCAACTTTCTTTCATGTTCTTCTCTGCTAAGCGGCTTGGATAGCTGTTTGCTGTCAACGATTTTCTAAAGAAATCAAGTTCCTACTCAATGCATTCTGTGCAATAGAGCCTGCATACTTGATAACGTAGTTTGTATACGATTCCTTTTTCTGCTTAACAGAACCCATCTAAAGAAATTGGTTAGTTAGCTGTCCCATGTTTGTTTTGTGTAAAAAAACCTTTTAAGGAATCCATCAATTACTCTTGTCAGAAGCACCTCGAAAAATCAGATTTCAAGATATATTTCATTATCTAATGTGAAATCTAGGCATAAATGACAGATATCAAAAGAGTAAAAACTGTCAAATAAATCAATGTTCTCATCGTAAACAACGAAATCGTCCTGCATACATCTTAAATCGACTAATGACTGAATTAGGTAGGTCGTGAAGACGTCTTCTAGGATTGGACTCGACAGAGATCTTATCAAGATTCGATTTTTTGTTTAAACTAAACTAAACATTAAAAGTATAACATAATGGTCCTCATTTCAGGTGGTTAGTCAGTGAGCCAACATCTATGCTGTTGAAATCAATATAAATTCATTGGAAAGAGGTCTTCACTCTGAATTTCATGTTTTGAAGTTGAAATTAAACAAACTGACACACCAGTTAAAAGCAACACCAATGATTAATCGAGTTAGATAGATTTTCTACTGTTTGTTCTAGTGAGAGAAACTAAACCATCGAATTTCTCCATTTCATTTATTTTAATAAAAGATCATTGACAAAACCAGATATTCAGACATAAAACATTTCTCTTGCTTCCATCTAACCAATTAAATAGAAATAAAATCGTTAATTATTGCAGGGAAAATTCTTTTCATTTCACTAGAACAGTCTAATAAAATGATTT